AAATAATGTGCTTATCTTTCCTGTGTGTTCTTTGCCCCTGCATTCTGTTCCTGTAGCATAGTTTCTACTGCATTACACCTATACTATTACAATGACTGACTATTTGGTTCTCTCAATGCTGTATCTCCCAACTGTACTGCCCAGAACATAACATGCATTATTTTCCCTGTATCATATGAATGGCCATCCTAAATTACTACTTTCATTACATCATTCTGCTTAAGAAAATCCTGGAATACAAAATTCTACCCCTTGGTGTGATATTAAATGCCTTTCATCTGATTTAATGTTTCCATTCGATCTTCTGCTATTCTTCCCTTTGTTCTTATTTATGCCTATGCATCTACCTGCCAGATTTCTTTCTTTTCTCTTCTTGCTAATATTTTCACCTGTAAAAATTCTATCACTTCAAGCATTTCTAAGCTTGCCAACTCTGACTCATGCTTTGTCACATCAATCCAGCTGAATGCAATTTCTCTGGTGCACTTTGCTAGTGCGTAGCTTACACATCTTGAAAAGCCCTGCTTAGATAGCTTTATTTACTGCCCTGACATGTAAGGACTGAGATTCAAATAGTCTCACTTCCTATCCTTCCCCATTTAGAGCATGCACTTCTCAAGGTCAGAGTTAATTTTTTATAACCTTGAAATCCTTCTACACTTGGCACAGTCTTATATAAAGCTGGAACTAGATAAAAAGAGTAAGTTGAATGAGCTCAGATTAAACAATTATATTCAAAAGAATACAAGGTCAGATCATTGGCACTATAAGTTTTCTTGACTCCTGAGTTGATAAAAAGTTAAAGCAGGTGACCTTGTACAATATAAAATGTCCATTTTTCACATTTAAAAAAAAGTTTTAAACCCATATGTGAATGTGGAATTTGACTTAATGCTCACAGGAATTAATCAGTTTCAGTTAAATGTCCCATCTGGTCAGTAATTCTCATGAGGGTAAATGGGGGAAAAGATGGAGAAGATTGTTGTCTTTTTAAAATAACCACCATGAAAGATCAATTTACTTATACAAATGGAAAACTAAAACTAAAACAAATTTAAATGCAATTTTGTAAGGTATTGCTATTATTGAAATACATTTTAATACAATAAGAGATGCAATTTTAAAGCAATCATCCCCAAAGTCAATTAAATAAAATTTGAAATTATTAGGCGCCATTGTAAAAATAAGGACACTGAGACTACATACCTGAAATCAACACTCAACTGTGCCCTTCAGTAAATGACACACTGCACAGCTTGAGGAAGGGACAATACGAGATTCAAACACTGAGTTTGTGCCTAATAATTTAGACTTTTTTAGTATTTTAACATGAGATCATTGGAATTCTTTGTACATAAAATAATTCAAAAGTCAATTAACAATTTCAAAGTACATTAGGTATATCAATATGGCTTTTGTTGAATAAAAATAAGAAAGCAATTTATTATGGAATCAGTGTTTTCATTAAGAGAGAACTATATTCCAAGCTAATGTCCAATCTTTTTAATTTGACAGCAATAATTGATAGTATGCAAGGGCTACAGCCATACATTTTACTTTACACAGTTATTTTTTTCTGTTTGTTGTTTGTTTGGGGTTTTTTGTTTGTTTGTTTGGTATCAGGAATTGAACTCAGGACCTTGCACTTGCCAGTTCAACGCGGTGCCACTGAGCTACATTCCCCAGCCCTCCACAGTCATTTCTGACGTACGTATTGTTAAAAGATGGTCGGAGTCCCTCACATGCACCTTCCAATCATTATCAATGCAGGGACATTTAAGCTTAGAAGAAAATATTTTATGAGAATAAGAGTAAGATTAGATTATTACATATAAGCGAAAAATTTTTTAAAAGCCATGGAACTATTAAATAGAATATGGGAATTGAAGCCCATTTTCTATGTTTTCCCACAAGCAAGTAACTGAAATTTATTCAGTTAGAGCATACAAATAACAAAGAATGGTTTATGAACAAAAGGAATAAACAGCAAGGTGAAATGTTAAGTAGATGATTTACTTTGGACTAAGTGTGTAATTCTCAGCAGGGTTTTGTTCAAATAGACCTCTGCGTTTCAGAATAGAAATTTACATTATCACGGCTTGTATTTTCACTCTTGCCTCAAGGATACCTTATTTACCTAGACAATGTACTGAAAATCAAACATAATTCCAGAGCAGGTGGGGAAAAAACACATCTGTTGACCCATAAATTGTAATACCATTTCCCTGCGGTTAAATATGAACTCAGTATGCTAAGTCTGTAAGATATTTAGTTTATTGTTACTGGACAAGGAAAGTATCATTTGAGCAAATGAGTTTCAGAGTAGTTTGAAGCGTATTTATGAAGAAACATTTTGGGGTCCCAGATGAAAAAGTGGCTTTGAATTGGAGATTAAAAATTGATTTTATGATTTGACTTGTCATTTAAAATAAACAGTCTCATAACTCAAGCTTGCACCTTGTTGGGCCTGAATGTCGTTTCCATTTTAAGCGTAGGTCAGATAACTCAGATAGCTTTCTCACTATTCCTTTATATTGTGCTGAAGACCACCATTTGCCCAACCACTTAACAAACACAGAGTAATATTCAAGTAATTCGTGCTCAATGAGTAAATGTTGAACATAATCATTATGCATTATGTATGTTTAGACCATTATATTAATCAGGGACCAAAAAAGAAAACAAAATCCCTGATCCCTGCCTTCAGTGAAATTAAATAACACACTTAAGTCTTGAAGTTCACCCTTTTACTCTGAAGCAGAGCACAAAGGCACTCACCTTGGGCATTTACACGGCTCTGCTTCCTGCTTTTACTAACCTCTTGGTATTGCTTTATTTTTCTCCAAAGTACTTATATTGATCTGACATGCTACATACTTCACATATTGCTTAAGATCACTCTTTCCAGACCAAATAATTAGCCCCCAACAGGCAGGTACTGCTGTCCATGTTATTCAGAGCTGTTTATACCAGTGCCCGGGATAGTGCCTAGTATTCATTAAATATTTACCAAGTGGATAAATGAGATGACTATTATTATTTTAGTTTTGCAGATTTCTGACCTGTAGTTCTCCTTTAAGATATGGCCACTTTTTTTTTCCATCAAGTTTCTGCTCATGTACAAAGTGGCCTAAATTACAATGTGATTACACACAGCTGTGGCTCTGAGTGACTTATCAACTCCTCCAACCTTCAGGACAATGGAGATCACAAAGTATACGTGGATTGGTCTGAGAAATGAAAGAATTCACATTTACTACCTGGCAAAGTGCTTGACACATAAGTGTTCCATGAATTTGAGCTGTCATTGTTTTTACTATTATGTTTATTGTCTTCTTTTGATATAAACAGCACATCAATTCTTTTTATAATTCTTTTTTTTTTTTTTTTTTTTTTTTTTGGTTCTTGGAACCGAACTCAGTACCATGCACTTGCCAGGCATGCACTTTTGCCGCTGAGCTAAATCCCCAGCCCCAGCTCATCAATTCTTGAAGCAGCTCATAATTAATGTGAACGGGTTCAGAATAGCCATCACAAAATATGCCACCTTGAAGTACTCCATATTTTAAGCTAAAGGAAACTGAGAAAACCACCAAAGCAGGATTGGCACTCTGTGATATCTCTCCCTTCTGCCTGAACTAGTTCATAAGATCCTCATTAACATATTTACCTCTGAAGACAAAAGAAAAATAAAGCAATACCTCAGAGAAAAATCTAAGCAAACAGGTCTTTGAAGTCTCCCCAACTTATTAACACTACATCACACTCCTTCATTTTCTAATCATGCTTCTGCATAATAGGCCATAAAAAATATAGGCTTCCCATAGATTTCTTTGTGTTTTCATTTCTGAAGGCTGCTTTGTCATTTGAAACTTACATTAAATAGATTTGTATAATTTTGTTTTCTTAATCTGCTTTTGCCATGGGTATCAGCCATGAATCTATGACATATAAGAAAAATATTAGCCCCCACACACAGAAAAATAAAAGAAGAAAAAAAAGAAAAAGCATAAAAGAAAAAAAAGCTTCCATTGTAAGTCTGTTTCACAGAACACTAATCCCATTTTTGTTTCCCTAGAGAAGTGTATATACCTCTATAGGAATTATCATACTGCATCGCAATTGGTTGATTATTTTCAGTCTTCTCTGCTACACTGTGTGGTCTTTTAGGGTGTGAAATCTCTGTACCCTATCAGGAAACAGGCACTCTACAGATGACTGCCCAGTGGAAGAGTTACTATGAGGAAATGAGACTGATCCCATTATTTGTACTCAGTTCACACATGCATTTTCATTACTGTGCAAAATCATATTTCTCAATATATGGGTCAGATCTGGGGAGCAACGAAGAAGAAACATTTTAGCACAGGCCAGCCCTACAGAACGTGGATGAAAATAAATGCAATGCACTGGAATTCAGGGGTGTGCAGCAAATATAATGGTTGAAAGACTAAAACAAAGCACGTTCTTATATTCTCAGTTATTTCATTTCAAATGTAATGATCTCATTCACAGCATCCGGCTTTATAAGAGGCTGACTACTCAGGGAAAACTCACAATCAAAACATCAGTGATACAGCTGAAAAACAGTTATTGGAAATGGGTATTAGAAACTGAAAAGATGTCCATAGCTTGGGGTTTAACTAGAGCTGATGACCAAAAAATAACAGGTATTTAATACCATAGCAAAAATCAAACAACAAAAACCTTCTACAGAATTTTAAAAGTCATCCCAGTGCAAAGTTAAATACTAAATGATAAAATCTGCTGTTCAACTGATTAAAAATTCACAGTGCTTTATACCAAGTAGAAAATAGCAGTTTTACCTAGGGGGAGGGGGTTGCAACTGGTAGACTTTATTTCTGAATTAACTGTAGTGGGTATTCAAAGCAAGAGGATAGAGGAAAAAGTACAGTACCATGATACATCAATATTCTAAAACGGTTGCACACATTCAGATCTTCCCTCCGAATAATGCTTCTCATTAGGAAAGTACTTACGTTAGGCCTGAGCCTGGCTGCCAGGTCATAATATTTTTCAGCTGCTTCATTGAGGCTAGCCTGTCTGTTAAAGAATAATAAGAAACAAAACTGTATCAATTATTTCAGAACAGGTAAATAAAATCATGCCACAAAAATAATATTAACTTTAAAAATATATAATCACATCAATTAAATAGTAAATTGTCTGTAGAGAAGCCTGTTTACCATAAATTTATTATGTTTAAAGCACAGAAACAATGCCAATTCAGTAGGTATTGGATTTTAAACTTACATATGAGCAATAAGAGAAGTTCATTTCTTCTTCTAAGTTAACCCATCCAATATACTGTTTCAACATGATAATCACAGGAAAACCTTAATTTTTAAAATAAATTGTCAAAATGAATATGTAGTTATGATTTTTTAAATAAAAATAATGAATATAGGCAGGATTTTAAAATTCTGTTCTATCTAGAGTCACTCTGAGGGAATTTCCATTTTGTGTAGTGAAAAGAAAAAACAAAGGCCAGTTTTTTTCTCTCTTGTTGGTCTCTGACCACCAGTTAGGCACATGACCTACTCTCAGGTGTGTGACTGTTCTCATTCGGAATTTTAATTCCTAAGTGACAGATGAAAGGATGACCAGGAGCTATTCAAAACACTGGAAGGAATGGGGCAGACTCAATCTATGAAGAATTGCTAGAGCGTATTTCACTCCTTGGCCACTGGGTTGCCTTCTTTCCTGCTGACTCCAGCCTGCCAGCCCACAGTAAATTCTTCTGTTTTCACTGCTTTCAAAGAGCCAGAGTCAGTTTGCTTGCTTACAGCCAAACCTCAGGCGTGGCACCGTGCACTTACGCACATAAGATGCACACTGAGTTTTACAGATGCATTTCTTCACTGCCCATCCTTGCAATTCCCAGCAAAGACTTAGGTTAGGTTCACGCGACTTGTTAGCAGAAGAAATCAAATGCCAGTGTGCTATTGAAGTCTAGCGATTTAGCCTTCAGAACCCAGTGGGGTTTTTTTATTATTCCAAGCTACATCTGAAGACCTTCAAAGAGAGCAGTTATGATCAGAAAAGCTCTTACAGGTCAGACTGGAATCCAGTAACCAGATTTGAAGGGCACAGAAGAAATGCTGTAGAAAAATGCTGATTTTAATTTCTAACTCTACACCATAATTCTCATATGACAATGACAGCAAACAGCAGCTGCATTTAGAATGGAGGAGCATTTTCTTGAAACTTTGAGGCAGCAAGCTTTTGAGACAAGATGACCAAGAGGTCAGGAATTAGGATGAGAAAATGAAAAAATTACCTTCCTCAATTTGAAAACTGCATTCAGATTTTAAAAGAGAAGGCTAACTAGTCATATCCATGCAACTGAATTTGCACTTTTGTCAAGCCAAATAAAAACTATAAAGCCATACCCCATGCAACCATATAAATTATAGGAATAACTGAAGATAAAATCTCTCTGGAGGATAGGACATATTTTTCTAATTTTTAAAAGGCAAAATAATTAGAAACACTGCTATTTTAAGTGGAGGTTTAAAGAAAGTAAAAACCCTTGACCTAAGGCTCTACTGGACCTATGACATGTTACAATGTGCCACTGCAATTTATATTCTCATAAATGTTAAAGTTCAATTTCAATATGTCAAGAAAAGTACTTTAGTCTGGTATGAAACAGTAAAAATCCCCTCACTAGGGTATTTAATGAATGTTCCCTCCACCAAATTACAGAATCACTTTGGTTCAGATTCATTCGGAAATCTAAACCAGAATTCATTAGGTCATGCCCTGAAAGGTTCCCTCCAGAGGAAAATAAAAGGCATGGAGGTAGGAAATTAGAGTAACTTAATATTACAAAGAAGCAAGTTACTTTGAAGCAAGATCAACCAATAGATGTCTAGCATGGAAAGTATAGCTACTATATCTTTACCGACATTTAATTCATAAAGTTGATAAGGATCAAAAGAGAACAGGGGAATCTATTAGATGAAATGCCTTTATCATAATAATCCAAATTTGAAAAAGCTTCCCTATAAAACAACTAGTTACTGGTTTTTAAAGTCACCATCCTCTTCAGTGATTTAATGCCTAAAGAGAATATTTAGTTTAAAAAATTTAATTTCTTAAGCTAGAAGTAGAACTGAATATATGTTAAAGAAATGAAAAAAACAAGGACTACACATATCCTATAGCTATGAAAATTGATTTTTATTCTAGAACTTAGTTCTGTTATTATACAGTGTTCACTGACTACTAATCAGGTAGCATTTATAGCAGCCTATGGAAAATTACAGGGAAAAGAGTATGTCTATTGTATCTATATAATATAATGTTCATTTATATTCTTGTTTTATCCTCCAAACAAGAGAGAAAAAGCATGAGGAACAGTCCAATATCCATTTTGTGGTGTAGGCTATATTTTAAGCTCTCCTCTTCAAGAACTATCCTGGAAATATTTAAATAAATCTTAATTACACAGATCACCAAATCATTAGTCAATATTTAAAAAGTAAAGAAATTAGCAATATTCTGCCTGTTGCTTGGGGAAGTCTATGAAATGTTTCCAAGCACATCCACCACAGGGGCGTGCTAGGGACTGACTACAGGATTTGCGTTCTCAGACTGTGAGGATATGCACATTAAAAACAGCTGAAAGTATGCACTTTTCCTTAATATTCATATCCTTTCTTCTTTCATTATTTCTTTTCTAGGAGAGAAAATTTATAAATCCTCAATGAAGGTATGCCTAGCTTCATTTATGATTTACAACAGTACTATGAAGTAGTGGCTATTATTCATCACATGTAAAGATGGGAAAAAGGAAAAACAGATACTTTCTTACTTCTTGTGATCTTCCACTTTTAAGAGATCATAAATGGATATGGGGGGGAACAGAAGTCTCCCACATGCCCAGGTGGAGGACTCAGAAAGTGTGTTAGAGGGGGAATGGTTGGCTCTGTCAGGACACTGCCAGATGTGGACAGCCTTGTGTTTTGGCCATAATACTTTTTTAAAAGCCAGGGATGATTTAGATGATGAGAAAGAAAAATCACCCATACCAGGAAGCTATACTAGGTCCAGGTGGGCAAATTTCCCCACATTAACCTGCCACCCTGAAAGTCAACATTATACGACATTCATGAGAATAGAGATATAATAACTATGACAATGAGACCCCAGTCAGAAATTCAGATAGAGTCTCCCTTCTCATTACCACCTGTTAGCCCTCACCTATGTTAGGTCCTTTCCCTCTTCAAGCTACCTCTGCCTCTCAGGGCCAAAAAGAGTAAAAAAGTAGAAAAAGTCCTAGATGGTATTTATGATTGGATTGTGAAGTAAATCTTAAATTCCAAGAAATAACTTCATTGAACTGAATGTATTTAAAAAGTTTTTCACCATCAATAAGCAGGTGAATCAAAACAAAAAGGAAAATAAAAAAGGCACAAACTTCATCATTTGCATACTACAGAATCTGTTTTTGTAGGATGCTTTAACTACAATAGTGAATTATCAACTTTGAATTGAAAATTGCTTAAAATGGACAATCATCACTGCTTGACTAATCTAAAATATATTTTATTGAAGGATTTGTGATTATTTTTAAGAATAGATTTCTTTTTTAACTAGACAGATGTTTGTTTATGTGACACAAATGTGTAAGGAAACAGTAGCTAGATTTTCCTGGATTCTTACCAATCACTAAACTGATACTTAGCTTTAAATTACTCAAAACAGCATTAAACTTTCATTCTACTTGATAGACTGCATAATAGGAATACAAGTGAAACCAAAATAGATGGCTGGAAAACATATGGTAAATCTTAAAATAGCAAAACCAGAGTCATACATATATAGAAATAATGGAGCAGAAAAGACCCTTTCAATGAAACTCCTGTAACAACATGTTTATAACCTCTAAGTCTTCTTAGATGAAAATTTCTCTGCCAAGACATCAAAGATGGCTTCAAGGCCTATAGATATTTGTCTCAATACCAAAGGTAATGGATAAAGCAGTGAAGAAGCAATGAATAAAAGAAAGAAAAGACTGTGCTAACAATGCAATTTTATGAAAGGTTGCACCTAGTCAGAATTCTGTGATATCACCTAAGAATTTGAGCCCATTGTATCATGGTATCAAACCTCACAGATTGGAAGTGAGGCAGGAGATTAGGGCATGGCAAACTGGCTGGGGAAGTAATAGGTATGATCTGTTATTTGCAAAATCATCGGACACATGTCCAGAACAGTGCCAAAAGCCCTGCAGATGGACTTCTCACAAGAACTGAAGCATGCTTGGATACCCTAGACCTGCCTTCAGCCTGAGGAAGGGTGATGCAAGCAGGACAGTCACCATGAGCTCTCTGCTACTGTACTCTTCCACAGTAGTGCACTGTCACACTGTAGAATATACTTCTTTCCCTACTTTTAGTTGCCCTAAACACAATCAGCAGAGCATGTTTCTTTTCCTACCTTAAATAAATGTTAAACCTAGCTACATTTTGGACTTGTCTTGACCAATTCTTTGCTCAGGACAGAAAGAACCTAGAAAACACCTCTAGGAGATGCCAGCACTCCAAACCTAGCGACACACTGATAAATTAATCCTCTATTAAGAAAGACTATGTAATATGGTACACTGTAAGAAAAATTGAAAGGAAAAGTGTTGGCAATGTCAACTGTTAGATTATGTTTAAGGTGTAATCTATGAAATGGGTGAAGTCAGAAAAGATCAAGAGGAGGTAAAATAAAACACACAGTAGGTCAGAACATCAGAAGTATCTCTTGGATCTCAGTAGAAATGCCAAATCTCAGGTATCAGCCATACTTTGCATTTTTAACAAGGTTCCTGGATGCTTTCCACTGGTGATTCAATTAGTATTTTTAAAAGACATAAAAGGCTTTCTTAGAAAGAATTTTTAAAATATGCACTCAAAGAAAGAGCATGGGCCCTCAAGACAAAGGCATTCTATCATTTGGAGCTGGGATATTTATGTGTTTGGGGAATTAGAAATCTGTGGAATTTGTGAATCTGTCAAAAGTTTGGGCTTGGTTTACAGGAGAAAAGT